TTTTTTTTTTTTTTTTTTAACATCAAATACCCACGTGAGAAGATACTGCAGCCTACATATTCACCTCTGAGCCCCAACTGGGCTCCAGGTTCTTGCTTACTTTGTCTGGCAAATGGACTATTTAATTCACCCATGCAGAAGGGAATCAGTTCAACAGGAAATAATGTTATAATCCACCCTATGAAAAAAACTATAGAAATGTGGTTAGAAAACTCTCTTGTTCAGTGTATACAGGGGTTCACTCAGCAAGAGGAATGATTTGAATGAAGGTTCCCACACATCCCTGAGACTGATCTAACTTCTGAAACAATGGGGAGATAGCAGGAGTATCAGAAAATGTGGAAACTTGCGCAGGTTGTCATGTGGAGGTAGATGTGAGACTACTGGACTAGATTCTGCAGGTGACATATGTGGAAAACTGTGTTTGTGAATTGTGATATGGCTTAGATGTCTAATTGCTCAAGACCTAAGCAGTTCGGTACATATCCAAAAGCAAACAATTGGACATACAAGGAACTTTGCTTATCAAGTCTTAAGTGCTTATAGATTTTAGGTAATTCCAGAGTTATGTGACAGCTGAAGAGATAATGTATATTTCAAATTGTTTTGGACTAGCTACCTACAGGGACGCTTGGGTATCTAGGAAAAGATCCATAGTTTTCAAAACATGGATTTAAGCAGAATTGAAATGCCTAACTTCAAACCTTCAAATGCAACCCCCCTGTTCACTTTACATAAGCATAGACACTCAATAGGCACATTATTTTATAACTGTAAAGTTCTTTAATTACCTATTTCAATGCGTGTCTAAAGTAGATGTAGTCTGAGCATGTAAGGCTATGTGCTGAGTAAACATTGACCAGAATTCAGAAACTTGCATTCCTCTATCCTAGGTTCCTTGAAGGGTCCAATCTGGGCATTCTTAGGCCATGTGTATACAAAATGAGAGCCATGTGTGCACGACACTTTAAAGTGGGCTAAATGGTTTTGCACTGCTTTAATGGTGTCTGTGTTTGCACATGTCAGCAGCGTTTTGTGCATTAATTCCAGCTGCTGTAGGAAATTCGGCAGCGTAATGCACTTTAAATGACTTGGGCCACAGCAAACTAAAACCCTTCTGAGGAGGTTTAGTCTGCTGGCCCTACAGCCATGGAGTGAGGAACCAGGCTCTGTGCAGTTCAACAGCTCTGCAGGAAGCCCTGCAGGGAGCCTGGCAGCAGCCTGGGAAGGCCTCTGCCTAAGAAAAGCTGCAAGCCTGATCTTTCTACTCCCCCTGCCCCCTGCAGCCCAGGGACCGCTCTGCCCGCTGGCAGCTCTCCCTGCCTTCCTCGCCGGAAAGGCAGATACGTCAGCACGGCATGTGCATGATATGGGGGTTTAATCAGCAGTAAATGGAAGTGGTGTTTTTTAAAACCCACAGCTCCAATTTAGGGCCCCTGTTTCATCTAGAATCATAAAATCATAGAAGCAGGGTCAGAAGGGACCTTGTAGATCTTCAAATCTGACCCCCTGCCTGGGCAGGAGAAAAACTGGGGTCAAATGACTCCTGCTAGGTAGGCATCAAGCCTCTTCTTAAAGACCCCCAGGGTAGGAGCCAGCACCACTTACCTTGGAAGTTGGTTCCAGATCCTAGCCGCCCTAACTGTGAAGTAGTTCTTACAGATGTCTAATCTAAATCTACTCTCCAACAATTTGTGGCCATTATTCCTTGTTATGCCAGGGAGTGTTAGGGGAAACAAGGTTTCTCCCAAACCCTTCTTGTCCCCGCTAGTGAGTTTATAGACAGTCACCAGGTCCCCCTTCAGCCTTCTCTTGTGAAGGCTAAACAGGTTCAGGTCCCACAGTCTCTCATTGTAGGGTCTGCCCTGTTGTTCCCGGATCATGTGGGTGGCCCTCCTTTGGACCTTCTCAATGTTGTCCACATCCCTCCTGAAGTGGGGCGCACAGAACTGGGCACAGTACTCCAGCTGTGGCCTGACCAGTGTCGTGTACAGGGGGAAGATCACCTCCTTGGCCCTACTTGAGATGCACCTGTAGATGCACAACACGATCCCTTTCTGCCTCTGTACTCTCAAGAAAGGAGTTTCCCATCTTATAAGTGTGCTGCTGGTTACTACTGCCCAAGTGCAGCACCCTGCACTTGTCAGTATTGAAATGCATCCTGTTTTTGTTAGCCCACCCTGTAACCTATTCAGGTCTTGCTGCAGTCTTTCCCTCCCTACTAGCATGCTCACCCCATCATCCAAATCGCCGATAAAGAAATTGAACTGCACGGGCCCAAGGATCAAGCCCTGGGGGACTCAACTGCCCGCTTCCCCCCAGGTCGAATATGACTTGTCCACCACCACCCTCTGAGTACGACCCTTCAGCCAATCTGCAATCCATCTGATTGTGTAGGCATCAATGCCACAGTTGCCTAGTTTTTTAATGAGGGTGGGGTGGGAGACTGTGTCAAAGGCCTTGCTGAAGTCCAGAAGAAGTCTACACCTGCCCTTAGAGTTTGCTTAACATGTACTGACAGGAATGGCTTTTCATGACGTTCAATTCCAGGCTCACTTTCTTTAACATAGTGGTGTTGATCTATATGGACTTACTGCCTGCTCAGAAGTGTGAGACCTAGTTTCAGTTCTTTCTTCATCCTCAGAGGGTTCAAGCACACCTTTCTTAACTCTTCGAAGAATTCTCTTACTTCCCTGGTATAGTCTGGGCCTCTTAGGAGAATTCCCCACCATGCAGAAAGGTATTCAAAATTAACCTGTCTAGAGAAAGGGCATGATACTGTAGTCTAGTGGTTAGGGCGTGCCAATGCGAATATTGCATGATGGGAATTTTAAACAATGAGTGTTACAAATAGGCATTTTACAATAAAACAATAATTGGCCATTAATGTTTAACAACAAAACATTATCTCTGGTCTATGATAAGCACGACAAAGTGGTAACAGTGCAAAGTTACTTTAGACTACCTACATATTGCATTTCTTTTTGTCTCAGACCAACACAGCTACCAAATACATCCCTGAATGCCTACATAGGCATTCCACGATACAGAAATGTTATGTTTAATAATATTTACCTCAATTTATAATTTAAACCTTCACAGGTCATCCAAAAATTTACAGCAGTAAGTGAGAGTCTGTTGTTCCATATTTGCCCTGATGCAAAATCAGTGGCAGGGAAATCAACCTCTTGAATAAGCAACACTAGAATATGAATCTTGGAAAATGAATTCTTAATTTCCTGAGCCTCATACAGTTTTCAAATTCATTTTTTTTTCTCTTCTCCAATATTAGAAGTGAAATAAGATGAATAAGATTTCATTTCTAAAATAGAAAGTATTGAGAAAGAGAGCAGTTTTAAACATGGTGATTCCATCAGAAAATGCACAGGGGAGAGGTATACAGCAAAGCAAAATCTCCTATGAATTTGCTGACTAGATGAGATATTGTATGTTCTGACTACATGACAGGCCAAATTATATATCTAACAATAAAAGCAATCAAAATCCCAGATAATACTGGGAAAAACTCAAATACTTAGTGGAAAGAAGAAATGGAAACACAGACTTGGATATGATTACGAGTGCCTAATCCCTTTTAAGAGATGGGAAGAGCAAATCTGCTTTACCTGTGCATCAGTTGATACCTGGGGATAAATCATGGTTCTTGTTAAATTAATGAGGGGTTAAACTGTCAAAAGGATTGAGGCATGTTACTGTTAGGCACCTAATTTTCCTATGCAATGTATATGAAGATCTAGGGAGCCACAGATTCCAACAAGTTCATCAGGAAAGTACTTTACAAGCAAATAGGAAAAGGTAACACTAGTGTTTGTCTGGGAACTTAGGTACTTTTTAATAAAATGCAAGAAAGCACCTACTACTGACTAGACTTTACAATCCTGAAACATTTCCTGGAATTAGGCAACTTTACCAGCCTTTTCTTATAAGCTACAGCTAGCAGAAGCAACTAGGCATGTCTACATGTGATTTTTAAGTGGGCTTAAATTTAATACACATTAAACTAATGCAGATTAAGTGTGTTTTGACATGTGGTGGGATTTAGGACTAATGTTGGCTCCAGGTCAGTCCAGATCTGCACTGTGCCCCCCCAAGGCCACATGGGGGAGCTCCAGACTCTGGACACATGGCTGCCAGCAGTTGGCAGCCATACTGAAGCCACAGCCAGCTGCCAGCACTTGGCAGTTATCTTAAAAGCACACCCTCCATCTCTGAGCTAATGTTTCCTGTGTCACAGAAGCAGCATAGCAGAGACAAAGGCAGTACATGCCTGCTCTGCCTCTGCTGCAAATATACTCCACAGCCCTGCCTGCTCCAGATCCTGACCCCTGCTCCTCAGGGTTGCCACAGATGTCCTATGCACCCACTGCTGTTCCACGTGTCTGATGCTTGGCAACCTGGTGCATACTGACTCCCCCACTTGCTCTGTCCATCTGCTGGATGACTGGTACATGGCCTTTGGGGTCTCCACTACCATGCAGCTGCTGCCACCTGCCATGGTGACCACAGGCTCCAGGATGCCCCTGCTCCGATTGCCATTTCCTCCTGTCCCACCAGCCCTGCCACTTCTGTGCCTGCTGTGCCTGCCAGGACTGGTAGCAGCACGAGGTGTTGCAGGAATGGGATGACAACCAGTGGGTTGATGTGGGCCATCTTTGAAGACCTGCTGTGCTAGCTCCCGCCCCACCTGGAGTGCCAGGACACGGAGGTGCACTCACCCATTCCTGCCAACACCCACCTGCCCCATTGCCCACACATCTCCTACCTCCTGCCCACCTTCCAACACCACTCCAGGACCTGCACATGTTTGTAATTAAAACCTTTATTTCCCTCACAAGCCCACCCCCCAGCCCCCCTCACTGCCCTGTTTAAACAGCATAGCCCCTGCCCCCTCCCTCCCTGACACACAGAGCCACTCCACCACCCTCCCCACCTTTCAACAATAAAAAACCTTCTTCCCAAACATAAAACTATGTACAAGTGTTACAGTTTCTGTCCAAGTCCTGGATTGGGGGGCTATGTGGTGGGGAGGCATGGGGTTCAGA